AGTTTTTACTGGAACTAATTACTGGTGAATTATTAAGTCAGGGATTTCGTTACCACAAATTGCTGAAAACCTTTACTAAATTCTTCCATAGATATAAAGATTTGGTTTTAAAGTTTCATTGTACCTGTAGAAAACTTATTTACTCGGCCACGTCCACTCTGTGTTTTTGTTAGATGTATTTCTATTTATATCCATCTGATGAGTAAAGCCTTTTTCAACTGAATTTAATAGTTCGTTCTTATGTCGTACTGTTACAACACTGTCCCAGGTTAGGGGGAGGGTTGGGATCCCACTAACATGTTTAATCCAGCCACATTCTGTTTGCATTTACATGTCCCAAGTCAGGAGCCTGTAATTCAGTGGTTGTCGTTTGTTGCAGTGTTACATATTTGTTTTTCGTTCATTTTTTTGTACATTAATAAGGCCGATAGTTTTCTCGTTTGAATTGTTTAACATTTGTCATTGCGGGGCCTGTTATAGCTGACTATGCGATATGTGCTTTGCTCATTGTTAAAGGCCATACGGTGACCTATAGTTGTTAATTTCTATGTCATTTGGTCTTTTGTAAAGAGTTGTCTAATTGGCAATCATACCACATCTTCTTTTTTATAGCATAGGTATGGGTTTTACTCATTGTTGAAGGGCCCTATGGTGACCTATAATTGTTAAATTCTGTGTCATTTGTGAAGAGTTGTCTCATTGGCAATCATACCACATCTTCTTATTTTTATAGCAAAGTTAAATATTGTGCATACAATTATATTTATTTGTTGTGTCAAATATTGGTTGCACAGCAATACAGAATACAGCACGCAAATCTGCATATAATGGACTGTTTAGTAATACATGTTTACTATCTTCGACAATGCTATATTGTCTCACATATTTCATAAAAACAACATTTATTCTCAGCAACAATGCCTTCATACACATGTAGTCCAGTTTCTATCCATAAAGACGCAACACCACACCTAAATCACCTAAAATCTCGGATGTCATTATCCTCATTAATCAACTTTAATAAGATGGATTTTCAAATCATAAGTAATATCAGTATTAAATATAAACTCCATATTAATTTCTTTTGAATTTTAAGGGACACTATGGTTCTAATTCTTAAAGTTGCTATAAAAACGTGCATTCCCCCTAAAAAATACATTTTGTCTTCTCAACAAAGTGACATATTAGTAAATCTATACCATAATCGAAAGATGCATGTTCACTACCGGTCTGTTCACTGAGATATATATGACCCGAAAATTGTTCGTCAACAGATCATTATTGTTGATTTTATACATTTTTATAGTGCATGCCTTATATAATCACTGTTAAAATGTAGTGGTTGTATTCCGAGTCGTTGTCGATTTTAATCATTCTAAAGATAATTACTTGTATTTACGCTTTTCAAAAGTTACATGTATTTTACTATTAATCATAATCCTTTCGTTTTACATTATCTACCAAATATTTGCATCTGTCTTTCATGTTAAAGATTGAGCAACCAAAATAAAGATCAATTTACAGTAAGTGATAACTGCCGAAAGCGACTCTTGACAAACTTAGGAAACGAAACGTGTTTTAATAATCTATAAATCTAAAATCCCCGCTTTAGGCAAAACATATTAAATTTTCTATCATTTGGTAACAATATACTTTTATTGTTTCAGTTCGGCATGTCAATCCGACTTTGAATTTGTATTTTATCTTTGGTTTTATTTCGCTATTCATACTGTTTATATTATTTTGTGATTGTGATTTTGTAGCCCCGCCAACTAAGTTTTAAAGGGGATACGTGAATCGCCCTAATAGAGCCTATCAAATTCTCCATCTATGTAATTTGTAAGCGAACTACCCGCCCTACACGGCTTGATAGATGCCGATGGAATTTTATACAGTTACAAATGAAAATGTGCATAAAGGAATATAATGCTGGTCTAACATTGTTGAGGAGAGATACTGATAATAAAATTTACTAACTCTAATGAAGTACATGTTTATATTGTTTAAACACGTTTAACCCGGCCTCATTTTTGCGCCTGCCCCAAGTCAGGAGCCTCTGGCCTTTGTTATTCTTGTATGTTTTTTTTTTTTAATTTTAGTTCATTTATATTTTTGGGAGTTTAGAATGACGTCCATTTTCACTGAACTGGTACACAATTTTATTTATTGGCCAGCTGAGGCCCACCTCCAGGTGCAGGATTTTCTCGCTGCGTTGAAGACCCATTAGTTGCCTTCGGCGGTTATCTGCTCTTTGGTCGGGTTGTTTCTCTTTGACATGTTCCCCATTTCCATTCTCAATTTTATTGAAACGGTTTCGAGTGTTATCTTTTAGTGAGTTCAATTACACATCTAGTTTGACCTCTTATACATTGTTCAGAAACTGCTGAAAACAAATTAAACTGTATAGTTTTTTTCTGATCAAATGATTTTCTCACGTACTGTAAGTATTATGAAGACTGTGCTTGGTATATACTAGCAATAGCATTGTGATGTCTACGTGTCCTTTCTGACAGGAGTCATCTAACATTGACCATATTTCATGTATCAATGATCAACGTTGTTTTCGTGGAAAATATAAAAAAGAAGATGTGGTATGGTTGCCAATGAGACCACTATGCACCAGAGACCAAATGAAGTAAATGTTAGCAACTATAGTTCACAAAGTTGGTTTCCCTGAAACTAAAGCAATAATTATGTAAACTTTATTTGGTATATTGAATGATCGTACATGGTGTTTATGTCAGGGTTTCTCTGAACATGTATTTAACCAGTAAAATATAAGATAACGGTTTATAATGACTCAATTGATGTTTTACGTTCATCAGTTTTAGAAAACATTCTGTAGCCACTCAACATATATTTTCTGAAAATATTGTTTAGGGAAACAATGTTTAAATAAATCAACAGATAAACCGTTATTTTACTGGTTTAATACAAACAAATGGAATAAGGTGCTATTTATAAATTTGATAAAGGCTTTATCGTATCATACATATATTGTGTATTACTGAAATGAGAATTCCCCTCCGTTGATCTGTTGTGCTGGTGCACTTTTCCCTTTTTGCGCATGTACTGTAAGTTCTTGTCTAAAGCGTTAAAGTATGCATTTAAAAAAAAAACCGATTAATTACCGGAAAATTTTAGCATGTAAAGACCAACAGATTCAAATGTATTTAACATGAATTCTGTTGCACATTTCCACAGAGCTCTGTGCTAGTAGCCAAAATGGCATTTATCTTGGAGATTGAGATCTTTTCTTTCTAGTTATTCTTTGAAAACATGCTGGACTATATTTGAATGGCAATATTAGTATTGATGGTCACGAGTAAAACAGGTTTTCACCCATCATGGGATGGATGGAGGGATTGATTAGTTATCAACGTCAAGTGTAAAATATTATGCATTTCAAAACGCGAACACATTGACTTGATGTGAATATGAACCCTGTTTTGTACTAGATCCTCATGATGAGTAGTTAAAAATGTCCTAGTTAATGAAGGCTTAGACTGCTTGAAGACATATTGTAATACCTTGATACTTTATTCTGATACTGAGCCGTCCAGTCTTTTGCTATTATTTCTACATGCCGTGTGCTAAACTGAGAACTAAACATCAAATATGAATTTCGCAATGTGATGTTTGTTTACGTCAATGAGACAGCATCCAAACGACAAATAACCAAATTATATCGGATAAGTGTATATGCATTATGTCAAGCTCTAGATCGTCCCAACTCCATTAAAGTTGTTAATAAATTTAACAGAAATAACCAAAGATCTACCATTAACACCCACTTCTTCAAATTTCTAAAGGATGCATTATCTTTTGTTGGATACAAATTTTCGTTGATTTCATGGGAACAGGTGAACCACGAATTTAAATGTTCAACGAATTACAAATTTTCTATAAGCTTGTAAGCAGATTATGGAAAATCCACGAAATTAAATATCCAAGAATATGTAAGTTTTGCTCAATCCACGAAAATTGGTACCCACGAAAATTAATGAATCCACAGTAAATACTGACGAGATCCCTGACTTGAGACAAACATTCGAGATAAGCATGCTACAAAGAAACCATCGAAGTGGTTCAGCCTCCGTGATAGTATCTGTTGTACACACATGTACTATACATGCATATTAAATATAACGCAGGGCTTAAACATTGTTTTTTTAAAGATAGTGTACGGATTGCATACGATACAAATGGTTACTGCAAAGTTAATTTTATAGGCAATTAAGTTTTAATGATAGAAACTACTGTAATGTATTGTACGATTATATCTGAGAATCATGTAATACAAGGCGATTACTTTGTTGCCTAAAGTATAAAAATAAAGAGATGTGGTATGATTGCCAAGAGGACAACTATATATAGGTTGCACTTTGTAAATACAGCTGTTTCACAAACCACGCCTCTTTTGGGGAGATATATAATAAATTGTTTTGTTTACGTATTGGTTCCCAGATATGATCTCTATGTTTTATGTTATATAGAGACATAACTTGTGAATGTTACCAGTATAAATAAAAAAAATATAGCGGCAGCCTTGAATTCTGAGGGAGACCAAAAGTGAAGGTAGGGATAGTACAGAATTTAAGTACAATTTTAAACTCTTAGAAGTTCGGGGCATATAAATGTTGAAAATATGCCGCACAGCCCTATATTTTGTCCTTGAAAAAAAATAGTAGTGCATATGAGCTTTCCATTCTAGGATATATACTTTTTTCGAAACTTCATAATAAAAGTGGTACAGTTTTAGCTGTAAAAGGAGTTCCTATGGGAAATTGCATTGTCTATATCTACAGAAATGGAACCTATATCCACCAAAGTTCTAATGATGAGGATGTAATTGAATATAGGTCACCGTAAGGCCTTCAAAAATGAGCAAAATCCATATCGTATAGTCAGCCATAAAAGACCCCGACATGACAAAATGTTAAACAATTCAAACGAGAAAATAAACGGCCTAATTAATGACAAAACTTAATCTTATACAGTGGTGTAATAGCACAACAGAAGAACATAACACAGTCAAACGACGAAGATAAGACAATAGATACCACGATGGAAATCGAACGAAATAAATAAATTAGGATGGTAAAAAGAAGAAGAACGAAGAGTTCAACAATATACATGTTACAATTAAAAAATCAAAATTGAACATCTCTATCATCACTATGGAACGGGATGATTAAAGAGGATCCAGACAGGTAAGCAGATCTGTTCCACTAGTTACACCCTTCGACAAGTATCCATATGGAATGCATATCAAATATATATAATACCCCCAAGATGGCGATATTCGACTCCATCTCCAAGCCACACACAGATTTAAGTTTGTCTTATTTAAGTATTTAATTATTAGATGGGTAAATTAACTTTCGTTACGGAAAAATTTCCTGAAATTATTGTTAACCATATAGTGAAAAAACCTTGTTTTGTCCTATCCCGACCTTTTGTCAATAATCTACGTTAAATTTTATTTGATATCACCAAAAAATATCGAGATAACATATAGCAACATATATATAAGGGATACACACCACTGATAGACAGTATTTGTCGCAGAGCTGCCAAAAGTTAATATTTGGCCATACACTTTCTGAAATAAAAGGTAAGATATGTTATGCTTTATATAAATGATATAACCATTACAAATATTTCCTGTATACACGTAAAATATTTCCAAACCCCAAGCACACTTAACCTTATCTGCAGCCATTCTGGTTTTTATGTTAAATTTTTTGAAGATATACGGAAGTCATCTTATGTAAAGAGAATAGGACAAAGTTAACTGTTGGCACATGTTTATATTAAACATTTTCATTATAATTTTGTATGTTTACATCACTGGCTTTCCGAATGTTTGGGTTTAGGTTTGAGCGTTCCTGATGAAGGTAAGTCCAGAAAAGTTCGGACGCAAGACATTTATAAAGTTTTATTTTCATTTACATCAAAAACCCGCTGTTTTCGATGATCAAGGAATACTAACTTATCAATGTCTGACGATTCTTTAAAATTTCGTGCTAAATATTTTTATAAAATAAGCGCCTGTATCCATGAAGCTACATGAAATGTTTTAAGTGAGGACGTTATTTCTCTGCAAATTTTAAGTATGCTTTTATTTTTCCATAATTTCTTTACGACCTGTTCAATAAACGAAGAAATATTGAAACTAGAACAATAAAAGTGACACACCCAAAATTCAAACTTGATCTGTATTTTGTGGTAATAAGCATTGTGTATAAGTTTCATAGAATTTGGTAGAGGCAAACTTAAGTTAGAGAACGGAAACGAAAAAATCAGCAATTTTTCCATTTGTTAAGGGGCATAACTCTAGAACGGGTAAAGTGACGCCACCAAAATTCAAACTTGATCTGTATTTTGTGGTTATAAGCATTGTGTTTAAGTTCATAACATTTGGTTGAGGCAATCTAAAGTTAGAGAACGGAAACCAACTTTGGGACGTACAGACGGACAAGGGTAAAACTTAATGCCCCCTCCGCTACGGCGGGGGCATAAAAACTTCTGTAAATGTTATAAAAGAGAACGAAACCCAAACCAAAGCACGTAAACAGCTAGATTCCGTCTATTAAATCAGATGATGAGTCAGAAATGAGAAAAATAGTAGACTTGAAATTAAGACAAAATAGAAATACTTTTTTTTTATCTGTTTTGTCTTGTATAAGTTTTCTGTTGTGTACGAATCTGCTATTTTCAAAATGGTTATTTGCTACAAGACAATACATTATTATATTTAAAAATATTTCCTTATTTCAAATTTATTGTGAAAATCTTTAAACGAGAATAAAGTTCTCACTAATTTTGAATGCCTCCTTCCTCATTGCATTTTTTAACTAACTGGTGGTGTTTAACGACCTTGACTGGCTGGTATGCCCTCGCACGGTCGGCATTCTTTGTATTCTGTCCCACAATTTTATACCGATTATTTGTATAATGGCATGCTAATATTAGGGTGACAATTTTTAATTAAGTAGATTTTAGGTATTCCCTAACTGATCACATGACTCACTCTAACGAATCACATAATTTACTCTGCTTTTGATACACCCAACCCATTTTAAATTATTCAATTTTATGTTATATCATGAATACATGAATCTATTTGTAGTTCGAATCACCAGATACATTTCCTTCTCATCATCATTATCAATAACAACTATTTCCTACACTTACCAGTAGGATAAAAATGAAAATGAAGGTTCGTGTTTGATGTGGAAATTTTATCTCTCGTTAGCAAATACAAAAGCAAAAGTTAAAAAAGATAACTATTGTCATGACTATTGGTCTCATTGTATTATCAGCGGCGTTTTACGTTTCCGCATTTTGGCACTACGCTTCCGCATTTAAATTCCTACGTTTCCGCATTTTAATAGTACTCTTTTCCGCATTGTTTTTACATTGATTTTGTAAAAGGTTATTTACGTTTCTGCATTTTAATATATAATGTATGCCTCTTCAGTTTGCCAGGTAAACCTGTTGCCCCCTGCTCACCAACGGGGAGGTGGGAGTAGGACTTCGAGCAGGATAAGTCTTTATGATTAAAATGAAACTATCAACTTAAAATGATAAAAATCATACATGATCATATATCAATTAAAAGTCAATGTTCAGCACTAAAAGTTTATATATATAGATCATACATGGTCATATATCGATTAAAAGTCAATGTTCAGCACTAAAAGTTTATATATACAGATAAAACAGTAAACGTCAGTATACTATTATACAGTACATGTAGCACAGTTTACATATTTGTCAAAGCGGAAAACTTGTAGCCAACTTACTTTATGAAGTCTAACCTCGTAATCTCTTCTCTACCATACTAGACAAACTGTTCGGATACGTATTCAATTCGTTCGCGGTCATTTTTACGAACTGGTGCTATTGATGATAAAGACCGAATTTTGATGTAAGTTGTTTTTTAGATATTCTGCAAAACGTCCATAAAAATAAATATACTTGGGTGACATGACATTTCTTCCCTCGGTTTGTTTCTGTGTGTACGATATCCATGACATATACATCAACTGGCACTTAGACTCAAAATACACTTTCTTAATACTGTGAACTTTTCGAAGAACAATGATATGCAAATGGAAATACTGACCGAAACCAAATAAGGACATGAAATTGAGTGTCCAAAAAATAAATCCAACATATGCAAATGAATATAAAATATATAACCAAATACGGAATTCAACGCATATAGAGTGACTTTCCACATGGTGACTTTTGAAAGTACTCACAATGTTAAATCTGAATATAATCTACCTGTTGAAGGAATTATATTATCATAATAAAATACAAATTAAGAAAAAATACTATAATAAAATAAAGTCTTATATATCATTATTACCATCTTTTTACAGGTGAAATACAGGTAAAAATGCGAAAAGGTGGTATCTATTTATTTCGGAAAAGTAATGCACGAAAATGCGAAAACGTGAAACTGGATTTTTGCTAAAAATGCGGAAACGTTATACGCCCATTATCAGAGTTACTGATTTGTACGTGTATTAATAAATATTATTTACCATAGATTAAATAATCTTGCATTTATTCCCAGTGAAAATAGAAGTAGAAGAATTCATTAAACATAATTTACTCACTCTAAACTTGAAGCCTAGCTAACTTATTGAAATAATAAGTCCATTTTATTTCAAATAAAAAGTAAGACAAAAGTGGAAGTTAACTAATATGTTGTTTAAGATTGGGAAAGAAATGAAAGAGCCTGAATCGCTCACCTGGTAAAAATATGTCATGTTAATATTTAGTTTAACTGTGTACTGCAATCAGTTACTAGTATGTTTGCTTATTTGTTTATCTTACTTAGTGATATTTTTGTCGATCTTGTATTGATAATGCTATAAATTCAAAGTAGTAAATTATTTCATCAGTTTAATACACAGTGGCTATCTTAATTATATAATTCATAATATCTGGTATGGTTTTTTTCTTTTTCTTTTTTGAACAGGCAACAGATGCAAAAAGTTTTATGAGTTAAAGGTTCACCAATAAACATACTACGATGTCTAAAGACGGTCCAAAACCTGGAGAGGTACATGTTATGATGAGAGAGATGTTTCTTTTTAAATTGCGTTTTCATATAATTGTTCTATAAACAATGTAGTAAGATCATATCATTAGTTATTGACTTTATTGGTAATAAAATTGATTTTATTGTCATGCAATAGTTTAGATATTATCAAGCAATATTATATTATATTGCAATCCAGATGTCAACACTGAGGTCCTGAATCTATCTACATAATACTTCTTAACTTCAATATGTTGAAGATTACAAGAAGGCACACACTCAAGGAATCATTGGCGGATCCAGGGGGGTCAGGGTGTTGGACCCTCCTTTTTGACGATCAATTCTTTTGAAAGGGGACATACGGTTGGACCTTCCTTTTATCCTGGGTTGGAACACCCCCTTTTAAAAATGGCTGGATCCACCCCTGCCTGCATTGTGTCGATTCTTATATTTTAATTCATGATTTGCATTGTTTGATGTCTGCCATACATGTTTTCGTTAATTCTTTTTTCCATGAAAAGCGATGCTTGGTTTAAAGTTATAATAGTTTCACAATTTATCATCCAAGGGCCTTTTTATAGAGCATAATGCGGTGTGGGTTTGCTCCCAGGGCCTTTTTATAGAGCATAATGCGGTATGGGTTTGCTCCCAGGACCATTTATAGAGCATAATGCGGTGTGGGTTTGCTCCCAGGGCCTTTTTATAGAGCATAATGCGGTATGGGTTTGCTCCCAGGACCTTTTATAGAGCATAATGCGGTATGGGTTTGCTCCCAGGACCTTTTATAGAGCATAATGCGGTGTGGGTTTGCTCCCAGGGCCTTTTTATAGAGCATAATGCGGTATGGGTTTGCTCCCAGGACCTTTTATAGAGCATAATGCGGTATGGGTTTGCTCCCAGGACCTTTTATAGAGGGTTTGCTAAATGTTGAAGTCGGTATGCTGACTTGTAGTTGTTTACATCCTTGCCTTTAGTCTTTGATTGAAATAAGTTGTCCCCTTATTTTGCATGAACAAGAATAAAACAGAATGTGGACAACACTTCAATTAAGCAGGAACCAAAACCACAAAAAAAAACGAAGTCCATCAGCAGACAATCATATGGTTAAACACAATATTATAATTTGTGTAGTTGTCTATAGTGCAGTCATTAACTTAAGCAGTGGCTGAGAGACAGTCATATGCTTTCATTGACTTTTGCAGTGATCAAGTGGTCCACGCGTATATACAGTAATGACACATGTTGACTAGAACAGATGTCAGATTGCCCATAACCAGTGATGAACAGTATTTTGTTTTAGTAATGTTCATGGCAAGTGCAGTCATTACATTCAGCTGCGGTCGGGTGATCAACGACCAGTATTGTGCAATCATTGAGTTCACTAGCGGTCTATTGATCCATTATCAGCACTGTCAGGTAGGATTGGTCCATGCAATCCTTGACAACAGAATTGCAATGTGTAGTCACCGACTTTAGCAATGGCTTGCTAGTCCACAATCAGCAATGTACAGAAACTAACTGAAGAAGTAGCCCACCACATGCAATTCGTAGTCATTAAACTAAGCAGTGGTATACTAGTTCACCACCAGTAACTTGCAGTTATTAACCTAAGCAGTGATCAACAAACAGTAATGTGCAGTCAATGACTTAAGAAGTGATCCACCAGCAGTTATTTGCAATTTTAAACTTGAACAGTGGTCCATCACCAATTATCTGCAGTAATTGACTAAAGCAATGGCACACTAGGTCACCATCAGCAATGTGTAGTTATTTATTTAAGCAATGGTAAACCACCAGTAGTGCTGTTGCTTTGACTCTAACAGTGGTCCATCACTAATAATATGCAGCCATTGACTTTAACAGTGGTCCAACATCAGAAACATGCAGTCATTGAATTCAGCAGTGGCATACTAGTTCACTGTCAGGAATATGCAGCTATCTATTAAAGAAGTCGTCTATCGGCAAAAATGCGCAGTCGTTTACTTAAGCAGTGGTCCACTAATAGTAATCGTAGATCATTGACTTTAATCAGCAGTGGTATGCTAGTTCACTATCAGCAATGTTCAGTTATTACCTGAAGCAGTGTTCCACCACCAATATGTGCAGTCATTGATTTTGACAGTGGTCTACCACCGCTCACTTGCAGTCATTGACTTTAGCAGTGGCATGCTATTTCACCATCGACAATTTGCAATAATAACAAACATAACCATGAAAGAAAGACATAAAGATATAAAGTCACATGACCAAGACTATCAATTGACTGTTCGTTTTAGTTATTGCTCTGTAGGGACGATGTTTATTGAAAAACCTTTTTTTTATAAATATTATTGTTTAAAAAATGGTAACAGAAACATAAAAATTGATACGCAGTCGAATTGAGATATACAAATCTTTTCAGTGGTAAACAAAAGAGGGAGAAGATACAAATGCGTCAATTAAAAGTCATAAGTCGAGGAAAACAATAGGCCAAAAAAGAAAAGTAGCGTAGTCCTCAAGAACGAGTAAGCAGTTTCTCCTCCAATAGAGATACAGGTCGTGTTGCACATGGCAAGTCAAAAATCGATGGTTACTCGCTTCAAGGGATGGCACAATAGAGGAAATGAGGACGGGATTGCGGCTTCAGCAAGTCGAAAACTTTTGTTGTCATCTTCGACACAGATATTAAATAACGACAAAGATTCATGATTGCGTTCGAAAGAATGGCATCATCTCTGCCATTACGAAACCTTGGTTCAACATCATTGTAAGCAGAATTCATGATAGGAATTTCAAGCTACGGCATATCATATCAACTGGTGTAATTAAATTCAAAATGCAGCGTTGCTCGAATGTTGCTTCAGAGAAATGGCCAGTTCACAATGGGAAATTTCAAAAAATCTTTCTGACGTTCTCAATCGACCCTTATTGTCAAGATTTAGATGCCAGTCAATAGTAAAGCAGACTTACCTGTATCTAATGTATTCTTTATTTCAATTTCGATTGGTTATATATGATCAACATAGTCATTTAATTCTGAATTATTCAATAGACACGGCTGTCAATCGGTAGATCGAGAGAAATGATCGTGAAAGAATACCTAACGGTGGTCAAGCATTGCGATCGGATCGTGAATGTAATTAATTGAAATTCTACTTCAAAATCTGTGAAAAATCTGTTGTATTTTCAAAACGCGGAACAAATCCGAAAAAAAATTTATGTCTGTCAAAATGAGTCAACTTTCTCAATAATACTGTGCAATAAGATAAATAAAATATGCAGTACTTTATGAGAAAACACAAAAGGCGCAACACAAGTCTATGGGATTCATTAAAAAAAAGAACACGTTTTGTACCTATAATGACTATATTCCAAAATATAATGATATATTTGAAACTCAATCTTTTGTGTGACAGATAATACAGTAAAATAAAAAGTTTTTTTTCCCTTGAAACCGTTCATTTTGTTTTTAAAAACACTGAATTTTGTTGATTTTTCATTAAAATTGATCGTGAAAGATCGGACAACGCATTATCTCGATCGTGAAAGACAATGCGTGACCAGACAGATGCAGGTTGTTTGTGCTTTTTTACCTGTAACATTAAAGGACATTTGCGCTTTTAACATTGTTACACCTGAACAAAATTGACAAGACATTTGCGCTTTTTACCTATAATAGTTGTATACATGTACCTGTAATCTTTAGAAAATTTACAAAAGTCATGAAAAGATGTTCACATATTCTTTGAAAGTTAATCCGAACAAACGAGAATTTCAGAAAAAAATTTCGGGTAAACCAGACATATTATAAAGAACATACTATACTTTTCTGGGGTCGCATAAGATTTTTCGCGTATTTGGGGATTAATTTCTGTTGACGTTTGCGCACAGCCTTTCCTTACATTTGCGAATATTTCAGAGTAAATAGCATTCTATTTCATTATTTCACCGAATGGCAATTTAATGAATAATTTAATTCAGTTTAAAAAATTGCACCAACACACACACATGGAGTTTCGTTTGTCAGAAACAAATCGGGTGTGGGGGGGGGGGGGGATTTGTGCACGATGGATTTACTTTCCGTATAGACAGAACACTTAAGTCAGGAGATATTTCACAGAGATGCATCGTAAATAATTGCAAAGGTATTTCACCGGATTCATATTTTCCTCCAAGTCTTTGGGCATCCAGCAGAATCCAAGCATACTACGTATCTTTTTGAGCATGTTACGACGTGTGGAATTAGTACTTTTTATCTTTAGATTTACTATTTTTCTGCATTTTTATCTGTATATTGTCCCAGGACTAAGTGCGTGTGCGTAATAAAACGGACTTATCCTGCTCGAAAATAATAGCTAAATAAATAGATAAGTATAATCTACCTTATTTACCTGCGTTTATCTCTAAAAGAATGCGCGTAAATGTAATCAAAAGCTGTACGCAAACGTAATGATTTTTGCGTGCAAATGTAATGGTAATAAGCGCAAAGTGTAATGCACCGGTTTCTCGGTAAACGATAGAGAAAACGCAACTTTTATGGATGGAACAATTAAATTTTGACCGCAATTCTTCAATTAGCTTCCTTATTAGTAGATTAAAATTGGAAACTATATTCCCTGATGAGGTTATTCTGTTGCATGGATAGTCCGAGGAACTGTACCATCATAGTTTATCTAAGATTGTTTCAATTTGTGAAGACCGAAATTTTATTTTTAAACCACCTGCTTTACCTGTTGAATTTTAGAAAGAATCATGGTTGTTATAAGGAGTTTGCTCCCATCAACTGTCTTGGAGTGTTGTCGTTTTCATCTGACACAAGCATGATGGGAAAAGGTTGATGCTTTTAGCTGTATATAAATGTATGAATGTTTTTTTTTTATATTAAATGATTTTTTATGTAATGTTGAGAAAGCGCAAATGTCCTATTGAAAAAGTGCAAATGTCCATTAAAAAGTGCAAATGTCCTATCAAAAAGCGCAAACGTCCCGCGCCAGACCAGACTTAATAATAAGAAAACAATATTTATTTTACCAATTGATATACCTGCAACTAGTTGAAGCGTGTAATTATTTTAATAAGAATGGACATTAATACTTTCATTCTTTTTTTACTTGTTTTTAATTCAACATTTTTCCTTCAAAGTTATTAAAATAACTAAAACGTGTCTAGATAAGTAGATCTCCAAGATAAAAGGACCTTCAGGAGCGTAAATTTTTGAAAAAGTAAAAATATATGTATCTGTAATGCTAAATGCTTAACGCATCCGCCCTGGAAGTATATGCATGTGTACGGGTAATTATTTTTTGTTTTTTTGTGTAAGGGATGTTACTTTCAGTTATAATGAGTATCGTTCATGCGTACATCGTATGACAATATTGGCTGATTTATTGTTTATTTCATGGCTGCGCTGACATAAACTAAAAAGGTACCAAGATAACGTTATTTATACTCGATTGTTTTATCAGTCTGTTCACAATAGCTATACGTCATTGTACCAACTTAGTGGGGAAATTACCAATCAACGTACATGTACCTCGTCATCGATTGTGCATGATGCCCAGCTTGAACTGTAATTCAGCCGATTAGGTTCTATTCTCAATCTTAAATTTGTATAAGAAAACTTATGAAGGACGGAAAATAGGACTGATATTGCTATAAGGCACCTAGTCGATTTGGTATTATAAGATAATCAGATCCAAAGGCATTGAACGATTATAGCCCTATTCACCAACAAACGAGAACTGGAATGAGTCATGCAAATCCGATATTTGCTGTACCAATTAAAATATAAATTACCATATTTTGCAACATTTCTGATTATGCTAACACAAAATCACTGTAAGAACCAATTGAATCATTAAAATTCAAAGAAAAGTTGTTTAGTCATTCGAATTATGAAACAAATCTTGTTTGTTTACATATTTAATGTGATTGAAATGTCGAGAAGCAATCTGCCTTTTGTAGTTTTGTAAGAACGGTTTACTTTTAAACCTAGATTTTTCTCAGATACTGATCCTCATGTTGAACCATTTTGACAGACACTTTTATTTTTTTGTAAATTTGTTCGTATTATTCATTATGTTAGATTAGTAATTGACCTTGCATATGTCTTCTCGATAAGATTGAATTTACGATCCTATACCAGAGCTTTCATTATCCAAACGTAATACTTGACCACCGTTAGGCATTCTTTCACGATCTTTTTTCTCGATATGCCGAATGACACCCGTGAATAGAGGACGTTATTGTATAGCAGAGTATGAATTTAAAGGACAATGCCTGCATCGTATCGTTCGTTTTGAAAAGCTTTTCTCAATGTATGAAAAACAAGTATGACAAAAATACTGAATTTCAAGGCAAATTCAAACAGGGGAAGTCCATAAAAACTAAAAATATCAATCGATATCAATCGTTATCAATCAACTGAACCAGTGAAAAACAACTGCCATATTCATGCATAAAACACCAAATCGATATGAAGTGGAAGGTAGTTGGTTCACATAAACATGCCGACTACAATAAACTCTGAATTCCAGTTTTGATTGCTGGTAAAATAGATGTTTGTAATTGAGAGAAAAATATGGTGAAGCATTTGGCGGACGATAAAGATTTTTAAAACAGTTCTTTGTCTGATTTGTTCATTAAAAAGGTGACCCAGGCACTGAAAAAAGAACATTTTAATAACTTTGATTTCACTTGAATACATTAGAAAATCTGAACATTAAAATTATAAACGTTTTTTTTCTTACTAAACTTAACTGCAAATTTAGTGTTTTAAGAAAAAAAATTAAAAAGTAGACGAATTCACTTTAATATTATATAATTTTCTGTGAAAATATAAGTGTTCAACTTCAATCACATTTTGGTGTGATAATGAGCACATTTCATCACAGTAATGTTTGCAACTTGCCATATTTGTTTATCATGTATAGGTGTTTGTCTATTATATAGAAGTTACAATATATTTTGCGAGGTCGTGTTGCTGTAGATATGTAAGCAATGTTTATGGACTTGTTTGTCGTTTCGTCGTCTTTCGTACTTTGCCATGGCGTTGTCAGTTACGAATGTCTCCTTGGTATCTCAGTTCCGCATCTGATTCATATTTTGAATTGACTTTGCTATGTAAATGTTTTGGGTATGTGTTTTGCAAAAAGAAGTCCGTTTTGATAAGGCATTTATGTCAATGTACTTAAAACAATATAGAGCATAAAGGACTAAGGAACCCTCCTTTTTTTTTTACAATCAATGCATTTGAATGGGGGCCATATAGTTGGACCCCCCTTTATCCTGGGTTGGGAACCCCCCTTTTAAAAATGGCTGGATCCGCCCCTGCACAATGCAGTATAATTGCACATTACATTACCAAATATTCTTGTCTGGATTTATAGTATGGAAGAGTAAATTATCTCAAAATGTCTTCTCAGTTATCCAGATTTATATCAATGATTCTGTGTAGGCTTGTTGTTCTCTCCCTCGGAACATACGGGTATCTGAGAAGCAAACAGACGTAGCACAGGGTCAAACAGTATACGATTCTACGTCTGTTAATCCGTGATCAGTAAAGATATGACTGAAAACCAAAAACAATGTAACCAATGAAAGAAAAAAGTCAAAAACCAAACCAAATTTAAAACAACTACCCACAATGCACAGCACAACATTGTTCAGTACAAATTAAACTGGTCAAAAACTAGCAAAAATTGGTTCATGGCATATTTAGTTTAGCTGTGATTCACTAGTCAACCATCAGTTATGTACAGTCATTCACTTTAGAAGTTGATAAACAAGTATAACACAATGTGAAACAATCTGAATGAGAAGAAAGTATAGGCATGAGATGGGCTAATAACCAATGTTTTATTTCAGTCTACTGTTTCCTCAGCTGATTTTACAGACAACAAACGAGAAACCAGTAATTCTAATGAACTATACTTAGAAAATCTTTGCATAGCAGAGAACAGTGATCAACCTGCACGACAAGGTGAGTCAAAGTTAAATTCACTTTCACACAGGAATTGAGAAATGTTAACGGCCACAATGAAAACAAGGATAGAGATAAAGGTATATCTACTGTATACGTAAGATAAGGACATTGAAGTAGACAAAACCAGCAGTACGGACAAACAGATGAGGGAAAAGGGAATTACCCTACATCTAAAGGTAAAAATAAATAAAACAGGGTTCAAAAAAGGAGTGACGCCATATACTTCATAATGGTTAGGCTGGTAAAAAAGGAACTGAAAAGAGGAATATTATTTGAGTATAACTCAACGCCTTAAAAAACGACAATTAAACAGAAAAGGGGAGTAAGTCCATACTTAAAGATAAGGCTTAATAAGAGACTGAACAGAGAAAAAAGAAACCCATAAGGGTAAATATAATAATACTGGGAAATGTCTTTTGGCATTGTGTACCATTGTCACAATTGATGTTAACTGAAATAATCGTCATCTAAATTATTTTTTGACTGCGTCAAATAGTTTGCAAAGCTTGTGAAAATAGATTCGGAAGATGAAAAACAAGGACAGATAGGGAAGATGATTATTTCTTTTATTAACGACCCATGCAATTCAACTATATACCCGATAGCTGTATAAATAGATATGGTCAATATCTTGAAGCATATAGAAATGAAGTACATATAGTGAATCACTTTTGTTATTTGACGTAATACACATGTATATATAGATGAAGATCAGACACTTCCATATTTTCAGGTAGTGCAACACCCCAACGACAGAAGGGCAAGAATACATCCGGGAATTACCAGAAGACACCAGGAAAGGTTAAATCACTTAACATAGAAATAAAAAAGAATGTGTAAATAAATAAATAAAAATAAAATTTGTTGAGCGATAATATAATGATAGATTATATGTAAGTGCATTACTTACAATTTGTTTGCCCATATTGCAATAATGATTGTTAGTCAAAGGTACATTAGCTACGTAAATATATGACTTTTTGAATGGAAAACTACTTTTGCCAAGAAAAAGTAAACTCAGACTGATAGACGTACTGCTTTATGCAGAGTAAAATGAAACGTTGGGTAAATGTAGAAGAAAATTGACAATGTACGTTTACCAATTAAATTGACCTTCATTAATAATAAAACTATAATTTGTCTTCTTTGGTATATAACAAAAACGATATCGAATTTATTTATACTTGGACAGTGTGAAGTTTATATCGTGCTACACACGAAAAGATGTGAAATGACTACCTTGCTTGTTTTCATATTCAAGCTCTGCAAACATTCTTACATTATTCTTTTTAAAGATTACACACAGAAAAAGCACTATTTGTTTGACTAAAGATCAAACAAAGTTTGATGGAATTTGATATTAAAATGAAAAAAAAAACGTCTTATAATTTATTAGTATATTTCCGTAATAATAAGGAAGTAAGGGATTAAATGTTCTTAATTCTAGAGTGTCGAAACTAACAGAGGATCAAACATCATATATGCAATATACACTCAAAGTATTAATCAAGAAATACATACGCTTTGTAAAATTTTGAAATGAACTTTTTCAATTGATTCTGACCAGAGATCTGAAAATGTGGTAGAAGTGGTACACACAAAAAGAATCTAATATGCAATGTCTAAACCGACCAGAATTTTATAACTTTTAAGGCCAGTCAATTGGATAAATTAAGAAAATTCATTGGGTAACTCCAATCATAACTGTGAAGTATTTATTCAAATAAAAATGCTTAAATCAGTAATGAAATCCAAGCAATTTAAACGTATTTGAACTTTATGAAATTATTGAAACGTAATATTTCAGAGACAAACATTTTCTCTTGTCATATGTTTAAATTATCATTTAATTAGAACTTGCTATGTCCCTTTGGTATCTTTCGCCTTTTTTGTGCCAGTTACTTTTAATATTTTTGTACATGCAAACCATTGAACATGCACCTTCATACTTGATTTAGCCCTGTTTTGAAGCATATATATCAGAGGCTGATCTCAAGAAAGGACTGGATTCAGGACAATTAATAGAGGTAAGCTTACGGTTACAGTCAATGATGACCCTCTAGCTTAGATCCAGTAGCTAGTCCTTAAATAGGTAAGATTACTTTTACAATCAATGCTGTGTTTTAACTTTAGGTTCAGCAATACTTATGCGGACAAGCTTACTGTTTTTATCAATAATGTCTCTCTAACTTAGATCCAAGACAGTATACATGTTAGATAATTGTTACAGTCAATGTTGCGCATCTACTTTAGACTTTGGACTGCTCACACAGGTAAGCTGTAACTATCAATGCTGTTCCCCTAACGTATATCCAAGGTAACTTCTACATGAATCTTACTGTTATAGTCAAGGTATCCCTTTAACTTCGACCAGGACACTTATACAGGTATGCTTACTACATAAATCAATGATGCTCCTCTAAAATAAATGTCCGGCACTTATGAGGGTCTGGATTGAATTTATAGAAGAGAGAATATTGGGCCAAGACTACACAAAAATCGGCCAAACATAAATAATTGCGATAAATAGGCAACAAATATCTCGGTGCCATCAATGTAGGCAATTTTCTTCATAAATCAGTTCAATCGCCACACCTGTTGTAACTTCAATTTTTAATTATAAACACATGTGGCAGGATCTCAATATTGACGACTTCAAGTCATAACTTCCATAGCGCATATATGTACGTTCCCCATTCACACATAACCCGGCTGGCCACCTAAACATTGTCATCAACATTTCTCTGTGAAATGTGTTAACCAAAGGACCAAAATATCGTGAACCTAAATCCATCAATTGGAAACACAACTTTAAGTTCTAATCGATTCAATCGAGGGCTATGCCAGGCAATGGGCTACACCCTCAAGAGAAAATATATATACTCTTTCCGAATGGGTAGAGACTGCGAGTAAGGTGATACAAGTTAGAATAAAAAGACTGGATTTGTCTATAAACACTCGTGCTACATCTATTTTCAAAGACCAAAACGTTGCTACGTACCTCACCGACCTCCTTGTATTTCCCATTCCTTGACATAGAGTTACTGCTTACATAGACCCCTTCGAACCAATAGTTATAAGTGCTAAAGTTGAAGTAATCCCTTAGAAAGGTATGCGGACGCCATCGCGAGTCAGTTGACCGTTATGAAATATCTGTGTCAGAGATGACCACGGATTTGTTCGAAGTGTTTTAACCACAATCCTGTCCACTTTTCCTCGACTGTGACATCACCGAATGAGACTAATCTCCAAATCTGTACTTACCATGACCAACACGACGAGTGTTACTAATGGAGCAGAATCTGCTTACCCTTCCGGACCCCCGAGATCAGCCCCAGTTTTTGATGGGGTTCGTGTCGCTCAGTCTTTTATTAGTTTTCTATGTAGTGTTTTGTGGACTTTCGCCTTTTCGTCGTATTTCATTTTTTTGCCATGGCGTTATCTCGACTTAGGAACCTTGAAAGTCCCCTTGTTATCTTCCGCCTCTTTTTTTTATTAACAAAGCAAGTGTTCAGAAATGGAGTTTATACTCATAGATCTTGACATGTTATCATACTCACTTTAGTTTTGAGTTATTTCTAGTTGTCTTCTCATATATATATAGTCATTGGAAAAAAATAATACAACAATTTTTAATATTATTTTATAATTGATTTTTTTCAGGGTCCATTCAGAATTAATCCTAAGAATTATACAGAGGCATATATACCGCATCCTGTACGTAAGATACTAACATAGTTATAAATACAGATTTATTGCATTATATTGCTTATTACATATTGTGTTAATCAGGTCGGAAGTACACTTCTATATTTTTTGTCTTCAAATGTGTTAGAATTGTTATTTGTCTTGGGTAATCTTCAATTGAATTTTTTGCATTTTGTTACATTTAAAGAGTTTTAATATTTTAGGTAGATTTATTACAAACATTGTAGTAAAGGTAAACCTTTCAAACACAGGGATTCTACCTATCATAAACTTTGGAATATACATGAATTTTTAAAAAGTTATAAAATATTAAATATTGATACATAAATTATATGAAAATACCTACATGTACACACCTGAAAAATATCTTAACACATAAAATAGGAAATAGATGTTAACATTACAAGTGAATATAGTTGCATGTATTTTTATAACATTCTTTATGGACGGTAGTTGTTTAAGAAACTGTCAGTGATAAACAAGATGTTCCGTCGCTATATTATGTTATTAACGTGTAATGTTCAGGTCATATGTTTAAAAAACCGGAATCTATACAAAGTTAATTATGTTAGACCCTGTTCACACTAGAATTTTTTGAATTGATCTAAATCAAGCGTTCACATTACCTTTGATATTAACGATCTCTATCAGTCTAATCTGAACCACTGCGTTCACACTACAAGTAAAAATGTATAAATAGAAATATTTAATCAAATTAATGTGTTAATTTTGGTACACACGCTTGCAAAAAAATAAAGGATTAAGTTATTGTTTCACTTGCATTACAAGTTCAAATGTTGATACTGCTGTTCGTATGGTTTTTCGTTAATTTTCAGCCCTTTTATGTTGGTCAATCATTTTGTAACAAATTGCACGTGTAATTTTGCCACCATAGATGCGCACAAATTATTTTCAATTCAATCGTTCTAGTTTAGACTGATCTCTGCGTTCACATTTAAAGTTAGATCCGTTCACATTAGACTGATTCAAACTAAACTACCTCTTTTGGTGTTTTAGTTTAGACCGATTCAAGATCGATTCAAAGCGTTCACATTGGGCTTAAATCGATATAAAGTGAACCGATCTAGTTTAAATCGATCTAAATGTCCAAGTGTGAATGGGGTCATATTAACATATGTTTCCTGGTAGAACAAAAATAGGGTAGTTATTAAAGTAACATATTTTTTTTAAATGTTTTACATAAACTTTATTAGGAAATCTTCCTGACTTTCATGGTGCTTAACAAAATATTGTATTCGGAACTTCAAAGGACGTCACTTCGATATCTATAACATGCGTTAGGGTAGACATGATAATTCAGGGAAGGTAGAGAGGGGAATATAAATATATTTTGTATTGCCTTATGTAATTAAATATTGAAAGTTTATTTTAGGAGAAACAATTTTGTTTCAAATTGGTAGAAACACTTTATAAAGTATCCAATAGCCGCATTTATAATCAGATGAAAATGAATCATTTGCTTTGATCTAGAAATAATGTTTATAAAACAAATAATGCCGTGTTTCTGCAAACTATGGACATTAGCATTAACCATAAGAAAAATGTTACTGTGTTCATATAGGAGCGTAAAGCCATTTTTGTGACCCAGAACAAGCCAAAGTTTTTCTGCAGATTCCTCGTCTGTTATTCTAAAAATCCTATGTACATGATGTATGTTTTCTAATGACAAACATTAATAAAAAAACAGTTGATAAACAACAGTGGGTTTATGAAGTTTCAACATATGTTCTTGTAGATGTATTTTTATACGACCGCAAAAACATTGCGTTCGTATATTGCTATCATGTCGTCGTCGTCTTCGTCGTCGTCCGAAGACATTTGGTTTCCGGACAATAACTTTAGTATAAGTGAATGGATCTCTATGAAATTTAACCACAAGGTTCAATAGCACAAAAGGAAGGTTGGGATTGATTTTGGGGGTTATGGTCTCAACTGTTTAATAATAAGGGGCCAAAAAGGGTCCAAAAAAGCCATTTTTCTAGTTTCCGGACAATAACTTGTGTATAAGTGTATGGATCTCTATGAAATTGTACCACAAGGTTCCATACCACAAAGGAAAGGTTGGGATTGACTTTAGGGGTTATGGCCCAAACCGTTCAGGAATTAGGGGCAAAAAACGGGGGGAAAAAGGTTTTTCTGGTTAATGGACAATTACTTAAGTATTAGTCTATGGATCTGTATGAAATTGAAGCACAAGGTTCCATACCACAAAGGGAAGGTTGGGTTTGACTTTGGGGGTTATGACTCAAACCGTTCAGGAATAAGGGACAAAAAGGGGGAGGAACAAGGATTTTCTGGTATCCGGACAAATACTTAAGTATTAGTCAATGGATCATACCACACACAGAAGGTTGGGGTCGATTTTGTGGATTGTGGCTTTAATCGTTAAGAAACTAGAGGCCAAATAGGGGCCATAAACAAGACTTTTCTAATAATGCCTAAGCTGGTTCTAACATATATTATTTCTGATCTATATAAAGAAACAACAAATACTGATATAGCAGGAGATACACACCAAACAGGGTGTTTAAATTATTATATTTAGTTTGAAAACAGATTTACTAAGTATTGCGCAACAGCAAAGTATTGCACAACAGCAAGAAATCAATACAAATCTTTTAACCAATTTCAATGAGGATTAACTTAAAGTCTTGAATTGTTTGAGGTTTTTACCATGTATTACTATATTGAATATTTGGACATTTTTAAATAGGTCTACATTGAGGTCTAAAGGATCCAAAATTAGACTTTGTTTGATTTCATTAAAAACTGAATTCTTGTTGTTCTATGATATGCTTAATCTAACTGTGCATCCAGATTTTTAATTTTGGGCCCTGTTTTCAAATTAGTCCATATTAAGATCCAAAGGGTTCAAAATTAATCTTTGTTTGAATTCATGGTTTTTTTATGCCCCACCTACGATAGTAGAGGGGCATTACGTTTCCGGTCTGTGTGTCCGTTCGTTCGTTGTCCGTCCATCCGTTCGTCTGTCTGTCCCGCTTCAGGTTAAAGTTTTTGGTCAAGGTAGTTTTTGATGAAGTTGGAAGTCCAATCAACTTGAAACTTAGTACACATGTTCCCTATGATATAATCTTTCTAATTGTAATGCCACATTAGAATTTTGACCCCAATTTCACGGTCCACTGAACATAGAAAATGATAGTGCGAGTAGTGCATCCGTGTACTATTGAGACATTCTTGTTTTTTGATATGCTGAATCTAACCATGGAATTAGATTTTGGATATTGGACCATTAAGTAGATTAAATGTCCCATTTCAAATTTTTA